TACCACATTTTATAGCCCAAAAATGATGCAATCTATAAGAAGTTACGGCCTTCAAAAGGTATGCAAAAAGCTCATTTGTAAAACGCCATGAAGGCCTTTTGGTACTAAAGTTAACCCAAATCACATTAGAAATAGAAATATTATTGTTGAATTCAATAGGGTTATAAGTATTCTTCAAACTGGACATAAGTGATAACAAACATAAAACGACACAAGCAAACACTTATAAAGTGTATCCCAAGGTGGTGAAGGTCGGCTCGGTGGATTAGGATGGTTGGCAGGGCGACAGTAAAGGAATGTTGGGGGCAACAAGGGGCAAGTGCAGAAATGCAAGGACAACAAGTATGGAGGTTGTCTTGGGTGATGACAATGAGCAGTGGGGTGGATAGCGATGGGACAACAGGAGAGAGGTGTTCCGTGGTTATCCTGGGCGGCATCGGCGCAATGGGAAGGCTGGGACAATAGGAAGGAGGTGCGGTTTAGGCGGCTGCAATGCTGGAAGGAAGTGGGAGGTTGACTGGGTAGCTAGGACGTCATAGAATAACAAAAGGAAGGTTGTTGTGACAAGCTGCAACTATATACATCGACTTGGAGCAGCTGGGGAGCATGTGAAAGGAGATAGGAGGAAGATAATCACCACCTCAGAGAGAGATACAGCTGGAGCACCACCCAATCACTCGGATACAATCCTTGAAGGTGAAAACGAATGTCGATCTGATGTCGATGTCTCTTTTGATAAAAATCTGAAATGAAATTTACCAAAAACTACTAATTCAAACTAATACACACATATATTGGGAAGAACTAAAAAGAAACGAAGGATAATATGAAAGAATGAATTAGAAAGGAAAATGCGACTATTTCGCCTGACCAATGCTTGTCTCTTTCTATATGTTTTCCCGCGGTACTGTAGTAGTTACAATATAGCGAGAAAACTGTGCTGGAAAATACTCCCGCGTCAATCTTCTAGGGTTGGGGGAGCTTTGAATTCATTCATAGAAGTTTGTGGTTCCTCATAGCACGCAGTCAAGTTTATCAAGTTGAAGGTAGCAGAGATATTGTAGTCCTCTGATAGGTCAATCAAGTTGGCATTATTGTTTGAAGGCACATTCTGATAGAATATGTATCCATCTTCTTTTGGCATAACCCGAGCTGACACTGTAGATAGACGAGTATTCTGCCTATAAGATGGAGTGATTGCTTGGTGATGTGGTCTATCCCTTTCTGAAGCTAGAGTCTGAAGTTTCTTTTTGTAGTAAGCTGGTAGAAACTGACGCTATATCTTCTGCTCCATCTTCAGATTCTCCTGTCCTCCATATCTGACCTTCTCTGATGCCGAATTCCCAAGTGTCGTGACCTTTATTTTCATTACTGAAATCTTCCCTATGGGAGGGGTTGAAATTCTTGTCATTTTCTCATCTTTGGCTTTCTTTATCACCATGGAGAGTAAGTCCCTCCTAAGTGACATCCTCAAATTCCGCCAATCTCCTGCTGCGGCGAATCTCTCGTTGTATCTTTTCTCTGGTAGGCTCGGGTTTGTATCTCCTTGGTGGCATGAATAGATTTTAGAAGATGAAAGAGGGAACTTGAAACTAATTGAAAGTGTAAAAAAAATTTATTTGGGGTTGCTAATTTTGGAAGCCATCAAAGAAAAATTAGGAGGTCAAAATTTGGCTATGATTTGATAGTTGGTAGGAAAGAAATTTTTTTTGTGGTTTATGGCGGATGCTAGGAAACTTAGGATAGGATCAGAGTTAGACTAGCTTTGATACGAAATGATAATGGAGTTAACCTAAAACCCAATTGAAATAGAAATATTATTGTTGAATTCAAATGGGGTTACAACGATGACTCTTCAAATAGGAAATAAGTGATAACAATCATAAAACGACACAAGGAAACAACCCTAAAGCATTTCCTAGGGTGGTGGAGGTCGGTTAGGTGGATGAATATGGTTGGCAAGGGTAGCGACAGTAAATGAATGTTGGTGGCAGCAAAGGGGAAGTGCAGAAATGGAGGGACAACAAGTATGAAGCCTGTCCTGAATGATGGCAGTGAGGAGTGGGGGTGGATTGTGATGGGACAACAGGAGGGAGGTGTTCCCTAGTTGTCCTGGTTGGCAGTGGTGTGGTGGGAAGGCTGAGACATCAAGAAGGAGGTGCGGTTTGGGCGGCTGCAATGCTGGAAGGAAGTGGGAGCGGTTGGGAAGTTGAGGTGGCCAAAAACAACAAAAGAAATGCCGTTATGGCCAGCTGCAACAAGTTATAGCGACCGGGAGCGGCGGAGGAGGATGTGGAAGGAGATATGAGGAAGATAATCATCACCTCGGGAGAAAGATACAACCAGAGCAACATTGAATCCCTTGGATATAGCTTTCGAAAAGGAAAACGAACGTCTCGGCGGATATCCTAACAGAAATCTTAAATAGAACTTACCAAAAACTACCAATTCGAATCCTAATACATATATATAGGGAAGAGCTAAAATGGAACGAAGGATAATAAGAAAGAAGAATAAAAAAGAAAAACGGGACTGTTTCGGCTGCCCGATTCTTGTCTTCTGTCTCTCGTGTCTCGCTATATGTTTTCCCGCGATATTGTAACAACTGCAGTACCGTGAAAAAATTATGTGGGAAAAAACTTCCGGTTCACCTTTAATAGCTTTTAACTCTCAAACAATATAATCTAAATTTAATAAATTGCATTTGGAACATCCATGCACCAAAATTTATGGCATATTTTATAGTATTTAGTGAGATTCCATCAGAGGTCACTTAAGGTCATATACTCTTACTAAGGTTTATAAGTTCAGTGAAATTTGCATGCTTAGTTTGACTAAGCAAATGTAGAGAATGAAAATTACGTGGTTTGATATTAATGAAAACAAAACATTCCTGAATTAATGGGGATATGGGATATGGTTATGGGGAACTTTGTAGTTGATTTCCTCTTTAATAAATGCCACTAAATATTGTTCCAATTTCCATGATTGTGAGAATTGAATTAACGGGGGATATGGGATATGGTTATGGGAAACTTTGTAATTGATTTCTCTCCTTAATAAATGCCACTAAATATTTTTCCAATTGCCTTGATTATGAGAATTCAACCGAGTCAATTTTTTACAACCTTGATCTATTTAGAAAATCATTCGGAAGATACTTGAGGTGTTTTTGCTTGAGAGAGTAGAGAGAGAGCAGAGTGAGAGTAAGGGGACTGTTTATTATTTTCTTGGGAGTTTCGGGAGACATGCTTTTTTGTTGAAGAGTTCAACGCGGGAGCTACACTATACCTGCTACAGTGCCGCAGAATAGTTATCATGGGAGACTAGCCGAAATAATCCCATTTTCCTTTCTTATGTTTTTTTTTTCTCTATTATCCTTAATTTTTTTTAGTCATTTTCTATTTATGTGTTGTGTTAGGGTTTGGAAGTCAGTTTCTTTTATGTTTTGTTCAGGACAACCGTTGGCGTCCTTTTTCTTCTTTCGAGGGTTGTTTCTGAGGGCTTGGGTGGTGCTCCAGCTGTATCCCTCTCTCGAGGTGGTGTTCATCTTCTTTATTCCCCATCTGCATCCTCCACACACCGCTCCCCGCCGCTGTTTCCTGCTGTAGTTGCCTAGAACACTTGTCGACCCACAACCCTGGCATTGTTGTTCCAACCACCAATAAATCTTCTCCCCTTCCTACCAGTTGCTGTCCCCGTCATCACGGGTCATGTCCTTGTCACCTTGTCACTGTCCCAACCCTCCCGCACCGCCTCTTTGCCACATCCGCTGTTCCCGCCCCTGGGAACCCAAATTCCACCTTGCTGCTACCCAGGACAGCAAGGACCTCTTGTTCTGTTGTCATCTCTGCCCACTTGCTCCACACTCCCACCTTACCATCACCACCTAAACTCCCGCCGATCCCCACCCCGCGATCCCATCATAGTTTTTT